CCCCAGCCTGGTCTGTTAAAACAAGCAGTCTTTCACTTTTCCAATGGACACCTTTGGTTAAGGGGGCCTTCCTGGCTATGGGCTTTTCCACTGTGGCACTAAGGAGAAGAAAGAAACAAGGCTAAGAGCCTTCATCAGATAATGTCTAAAGTAACACAGCGTATCAGAGCACTCAAGCCCTCAGTGACTCTGTCTCCTACCTGCTCTCTCCCCAAAGTGACCACAAGGAGAAGCCTTGTTTTACCAGAGGAAGAAAGTGTCCCTTTGTGTGAATGATTCTATTTATTTGGAAATTCCTCAAATGTCTCTAAGAAATCAGCTTCTTCGATACAGACCACATTTTAGGGGTATAGACAGAAAATAACTGCTGCTCAGTGAGAAGTCAGCCTGTATTTATTCGTGAGCCATTCATAAGATCTGGCTCTGTCTTAGAACTTCTGTGATTTTGACAAAGTTACATAAGTGCTATGAATCTCGTGTTTTTCATCTGTAAAATGAGATTGAGTAATATACTTTAAAAAAATTTCTTTTAAGCATTAGAGCCTTTCTCATAATACTTGAATGTGTAAAATAGATAAAAGTATAATCATTGCTGCTGAAGGAAAGTTCAAAGAACACAAAAATGGAAAAGTATCTATTGATGATAACATGTATGATATTACCTTTAACTGGACTCATAGACAGTGTATTCATACCAGGAAAATTCATTTTAAAAGTTATAATGATATATAGTGATTGAATGTATAATAAATAAATAAATAGGGACCAGTAGATGGCATAATGGTTATGTCACTGGCCTCCCATATAGTCAACTGCAGTTCGAGTCCCAGACCTGGTGGCTTAAAACACACCAGGTGCATGTGCGTGCGTGCCCAAGATCCCGAGAGGAGAATGGAGGAGAAGGGATTGCAGTGTGGCCATCCTCCTGGGGGGTGATTTCTCTCTTTCTTTCTCTCTCTCTCTCTCTCTCCAGTGAGCACATGCGCCCTATAGCAAAAATATCTCTCACAAAGTCAAATAAACAAGGTATGGAAAAAAATAATACATATATAAAGCCTTGTACTCTTATCCTTTATGCCCCGTGTCCTCTAATGTCCCTCTATAATGATACCTGCACAAAATCCGATGGATCCAAAGGCTATAGTTTAATAGCTGAAGCCCGAACCTCCAGTGCTCATCAGGTATGTGGCATCCCAGGACTCAGTGATGAAAGTTGAGAAAGCCACAGGGGTAGCCACCTATTTCTCTTGCCTTTGACTTTTGCAGCCACTGGGCTGGCTGCTGGTCTCGTGAGTAGGCTGTGTGGTGTCTGTGCAGCCTCTCATGCACCACTGGATCCAGGAAACAGGATGTGGCGTGGCTGGGTGCTTCTTGGAAGAGTTTCGCATCCTGTGAACGCTGAGTCTCTACCTGCCAACTGCTGAGATGAACCAGGAATCTTTTCGGTTCATCTTTTATCAATGAGGAGGATTCAGGCTTTTTTTTTTTTCCTCCTTTCCTCCAAATAACACTCCCACTGTTCAAGCTTAAGTACCAAAACCGTACAGTTTGTGGAATCAGTGCCAAAAAGACAGGCAACAGAGAAACTGCAAAGATAATAGCTCCTATTGATCCAGTCGAGAAGAGGAGTGTTTGAGGTTCGCCCTCCTACAGAGGTCGAGACAGATAAGGGCTAACGTTTTCTAAAACATGCTTGATTTGCTTAAATGGAATAAAAACCACATAAAAACACTTATGTTCTTAGAGAACTGGTGACCAATTCAGGAAAACCTCACAAAATGAAAAGATTGTCTTGGATTAGTAAGGCATGTGAAATTGAGGGTTTTTCTAAAAGCCTGGTGAATGTGTTATTTTAAACACAGGCAGGGACATAGCAATTAACCACGAATGTCCTTGCAGAGGATGGCTGCCCGCTGGCCTTATGAGGTAGTGGGGAAAGAGAGCTTGAGTCTTTTCCCTATGCTGGGCACTATGTAGGCTCCTTTAGGCCCATTATCTAATTTAAGCTTTGCCACAGTCCTGTCGAATGGATTTTATTGTCCCCATTTTACAGATGAGAAAGTAGAAGTCAATGAACGTTAAGTTACTAACTCTTAATTATAATATTAATCAACGTTAGAAACCAGTATTTTAATCAACATGTGTATTGCCATTGAATGGCCTGTCTCCCAAATGGTGCATATTAATCCACCGCTACACAATGATTTGACACAGAGAGACTGCTGGTTTGGTAGTAAATATACTTGAAAATGTCCTTTTGCCATAGTGAGGAGGATAGAAGAGTAGGGTCATACTGCTTGCTCTCTCTCCAAAGCTGCTGGTGGCCGTGGAATTGATGTTGCTCAAGATGAGATATGCTCAAGTTTTCACTTAAAGTTCAGCCTTCATTTCAGGGGGAAAAAAATATATCTTTTTGGGTCTGGCCCTGTAGCACAGTGATTAAGTGCTATATGGAGGGAGTTGGTTCCCACATGCCCAACTATGGCTCGATTCCTGGCCCTGGTACCTTGAAAAACACACATTGTGCATATATATATATGCCCAAGATCCTGATAGGAAGGAGGGATGGAGAAAAGGGGATTACAACATGACAGGGCCCCACTGGGGGGTCCTTTCTCTTTCTTTCTCTCCCCTCCTCTCCCTTCTTCTCTCTTTGTGCATGCATGTATGCCCTCTGGCATTAATTTATATGTGTGTGTGCACACACACGTGTGTGTTATATATAATCTTGTGAAGAGGAATTATTAACATTACGTTTTCCTCATAAAATAGTCCATCTTTCTTTTTAAAAATGTGGCCTTGGAAGATAATATTTTCCAGAGAGTTTATTCATATGTTTAAATATGTTATCTGCTTTTATTATCATTTTATCTAAAAAAAAAAAACTGAACATGTAGTTATCTAAAGCAATGGATCTTGAGGCTGAGAACAAAATTCCTCAGAATCAGCACAACTGCTTAATGAGCTTATAAACTGAAATTATCTTTGCTGTAGCCCAAGAAGTGAGTGGTAATTAGTGTCCAGGGACACGTGGGGAGCAATTTCACTGTTAGTGGTGCCAAGAACCTATTCATTTGTCATCGGTCACAAACCATATTCAATCAGCAATTCAAACTCAGTTTGGAAAAACCAAGTGACACATAGCTAACTTTCTATAAAATTAATACTGTAAGGTGAAACCTGTGTTTTCGGCAATTTCAGTGTGAGCAGCAGTAAGACGAAGCTATGAAAATACCAAGTGTAAATGTCAAGGTCTGCCTTCATCCCACCACTTCCCTGCCCTTTGCTTCCTTTCCTGAAACGCCGCCATGCTTCTGTTCCCATGCTTCCTGAAGTCTGCGTATTGGAGTGCTTCGTGAGCCTTTTTATAAGGAGGATCACATATCCATAATACCGCAAGCAATGGCTGCCATTATTGGGAGAACCAAAGTGGGTGGCAGTCGGAAGGGTGTCAGGATAGAGCTGTGGTTGGGTTCACACATGGAAGGCCCCCACACGTGGACAATTAGCTCTTCCTGGTGAAATCACCTGCATGAAACACTGATTCCTAGGACAAGGGGCTGATAGCTGAGACACTGTATTTCCTCTTTAGGTACGTTTTCTCTTTTGGTCTCATATTTTAGAATTTGCTGTGTTGTACTAAAGGCTTAGTCATACTGCTCATCTGACTTCAGGCCCCCTTAACAGGATCTATGCTGGTTTTGGCTCATGTTGTCAGAGGAGACTGGGGCCACTGGGGTGGGGAGCGTATGTGTGGTTTTTCTACTTTCTTTACCACCTGCTTCAAGGACTGGGAAAGAAGTAAGTAAGGAGTCTGCACAAACCAAACAGTCCTTTTATTTCTGCTGTGCGTGGCAGGTAGACGAACTACAAGTGGATCTTTACGAGGTCTCAGAGAGTAAACATCCTGTTCTTGGCAGAGCTCAGTGACGACGTGTGACTCCTATGGCCATTTGGCAAACGGTCATCATCAGTAAATAAAGAAATGTGGGAAGTGTACTTACCTCTGTGAAAAGGTAGAGCCAGAGGAAAGGTGGAAATAACAGTCTGCTTTCACAGTCTTGATTTCTAGAGAGCAGGGAGGGCGGGGCGGTGTCTGGGTGGTGGTGTAAAACAGACCTGGATTTGGATTCCAGTTCTTCCTCTTGTTGAATTGCATCTTGCATTCCAACTCGGCCCATTATTAGGAGCCACCCAGAACGTTATTGAAAAGACTCCACAGCAGATCCTAGACTTAGCAGGCAAAAGAGCATAACTGTTCAACAACATGCACTGGATTAAGGCAGAAGGAGTTGACAGCCTGTGTGCAATGTAGCTAATGACCATGGGCTCTCCAAGATCCTGTTCGGCCTTCGTGTTCCGCAATGTGGTGAGTGTGTGCGTGCATGTGTGCACGTGTTTACATATAGCTAAGAGGTGGTTACCCGAACCTTACTAAAATATGTTAGTAAGATGTTGTGGCTTAAATTTTCAAAAACAACAACAAAAAAAATCCTTTATGTACTTCAGTCTATTACTGAAGGGTTTTTACATTTTCATAGTGTATGATGTCCTTTAGGTTGTTTATATGCATGTTTGCTTTAGTTTATGGTGGTTTTGAAATGGTCTTTTGGGCCAGCTGGTGGTGTGGTGGTTAAGGCAGCTAGATCCCATATAGCTGATAGCACAGTCTGAGTTCTAGACCCAGCAGCTTGAGAAACATGCCAGGATGCCAGGGGTGTGTGCACACACGCACACACACGTGCGCCCCAAATTCCAAAAGGTGGGTGAGTGGAGAAGTCATTGTAGCCCTTCCTGCTTGGGAGGGTCTTCTCTCTTTCTCTCTCTCCTTTTCTCTCTCTGTCTCTCTAGTGAGTGTACATGTCTTTTAGCAAATTAGCATACGTACACATATACATACAAAAGATCTTTTAAGTTTAGTTAACATAAATGGCACTGTGTTCAGATACTTAGCTTATGCTTATTTTGACTCAAAATTTTAGTGTACAAAAATTAATCTCTCATAAAATTTCTACCAATTCAGCACAGGAACAATATTGGTCTTATTTTCCATGGAAGAGTATTGATTATACTCATGCACCATGTAACAATGTTTCTGCCACCAATGGGCCACACAAACAGTGGTGATCCCATAGGATCATAACTAATAGCCTACGTGGGTAAGAGCTATACCATCTGGTTTTGTGTTCCTGTATCGTATGGTGTTCGCACAGTGATGAAATTGCCTAAAGACTCATTTCTTAGACCATATCCTCATTGTTAAGAGATGCATGGCTTGGGACCAGCAGATGGAGTAATGGCTACATCGCTGGACTCTCATGTAGTCAACCACAGTTCGAGTCCTGGAGCTGTTGGCTTAAACTCACACAGGGCACGTGTGCATGCGTGCCCAAGATCCCGAGGGGGGAATGGAGGAGAAGGGATTGCAGTATGGCCATCCCCCCCAGGGGGTGATTTCTCGATTTCTTTGTCTCTGTCTCTCTGTTTCTGGCGAGTGCACATGCCCTATAGCAAAAACCTCTCCAAAAAAAGAAATAGAAAAAGAAAGAAAAAAAAAAGAGATGCATGTCTGAATATTAATCTAAAACTGGTCTTTTCTTTTTTTTAATAAATTTTTTTTATTTTTATTTTTGAGAGTTTTTTTTTTTTTTGCTTTCTCACCCAGGGGCATGGCCACACTGCAATCAATCCCTTCTCCATTCTCCTTTTGGGATCTTGGGCATGCAGGTACATATGCCTGGCATAAGTTTAAGCCACCAGATCCAGGACTCGAACTGTGGTCGACTACATGGGAGTCCAACAACATAGCCATTACACCAACTGCTGGCCCTAAAACTGGTCTTCTAACAAGAAATAGAAGTTTATGTTTAATGATCTGTGGTCATTTCTGCAAGTTTGACTTTTGTTAATATAACAGTTTAAATCTGAGTTTTCAAGCCAGTGTTGTAAAGTACAAATCTTCAGATCTGTCCTGTAGATGTTCATTTGGGTAAAGTCTACAATGCAGGCGCCTCTGCCTGGCAACCAGGGCAGCCTTTCCAGTTTAATGAGCTATGGGATTGCAATGGTCTCTCTGAAGGCAGGCCCTTTGGAAATCTCCTGTAATGCCTCTAACAGCCCATAAGTTACTATATTTAATATTGCCCTGTCTCTCTCCCCTCCCTTCTTTTTCTTTTCAGAAACAGAGTTGTCAGTCACTGCTGAGTTAGTGCCTACCTCATCATGGAACATTTCGAGTGAACTCGACAAAGGTACACAGTGGGGTAGGGGGGAGACACACAGGGAGGTGAGGAGGGAGGCGTGAAACTCCATTTTTAATTCTGGCATGCCCTTCTTTGAAATCAACTGCTTTTCAGATCAGCAGAAGGAGTTGGGGGCCAAAATAAATTCCCAGCTTACTTTATGATCATTTAACATTTAATTACTTGGAGTTCTATGATTTCTTGAGTGTTTTCTTTTCTTTTTCTTTTTCTTTTTTCTCCCCTCCTCTTTCCTTTCTCTGCTTTCTCTAAAATGTTCCACATGGTAAAAATGCTTCAAGATGTGAAATAGGGTCGCTTCTGACCTTCCTGACACTACATCTAGTGGATCTTATTTAGGGGATTTGATTCAGCCTGAGCCAGGATTGATCAGAGCTGTTTGCTGGGTGACCTCTTACAATAAGCATTTGATGTGTTTGCAGGGTTCAGGGCAGAGTATTTGGAATGTTTGTAATTGCCTGTGCATGCAGATGGTAGCTTCCTGTGTGCATGTGGAGAACAGGTTCCTGCTATGAACTTGTTTAGCATTAATTAAGCCCCGCCATATGCTAAGCCTGGGCTACTCTGTGAAGAACTATGTCCTGGGGTGGTAAGTCAGAGCATATTCAAAACCCCTGCCATCTGACTCAACCTACCTTTCCAGTCTTTCGTTTGTTACCCTCTATGCCCCTTCATGCACCTGCAGCCAAATTTCTATTTCATGACTATCCTGTGCTTCACTGCCTGTCTGCTTTTGTCTGTCATTCTTTCTACCTGGATTGCCTTTCCTTCTTTGCCAATAGCCATTCTCTCCCGTTCTGCAGGGCAACAAATAACTTATCCTTCAAGGCCAAGCATAAATTCTGTATTATCCACAGTCTTGTCTAATCTCTCAGCAGGAAAAAAAAACCTTTATATCTGTGGAACTCCCATAGCCTTTTCTCTGTTCTTCTCATCACATTTTCTGTATTATATCATGATGATTTACATACCTGTCTACCTTGCACTGAAGCCTGGAACTTCATTGTAGGTAGGATTTCTATCTTCTTTCCTTTTTTTTTTTTTTCCTTTCTTTCTTTTGGTTTTCATCACAAAATCTAGCAAAGATCTTGTTCCTAGGAAATTCTCAATAAATACATGTAGAATGATGAGTCACACTTTTTTCTAGTGAGACGCCACATCCACACAGGTGTGTGCAAATAATTCTATGTCCTGGGATTATCATGGCAAAAAGAACTTAAAAGTCATTTTGAAAATTGCCTTTTATGGTCAACTCTCTTTTGTCTCCTAATACATTCACTGAGAATTCTCATTTCTCTCTGAGAAGAAATTATTTTATAAAACAATAGGTGGAATGATTTTGCAGGTTTTACTTTATTAGGCAGTATAGGGTGGCAGGATAAAACGAGAGCTCTTTTCACTGTAAATCAAAGCGCATTTAGGAGTTTTTCCTTTTGTCCAATTGGATCTGGATATTCTTTTTCTAAATAAGGATTAAGACAAGTGCTGCATGTTATTTCTTTCCATCTCCAGCATCATGCCCTAGGAAGCAATAGATCCTCAACAAATATTTATGGGTTTTGTGTGTGTGTGTATGTTTTGTTTGTTTGTTTGTTTGTTTTAGTGGAAAAGAAGAAATAAAGGGCACCAAGTGTAAACTTAGTGCCTACTCTGTGCTAGGCACCACTGGGTGCTTTAAAATGTGAATTGATTCTGCTAGCTTCTTATGGCACCAACAAAAATGATATCATTGAACAGTCCATGTTAATGATCAGATTCCAGCTATGGCTATAAGAGGGCTTAAGTATATGCCAAGAAAGACACTAGAGTCACTGGTCAAGAATTCATCCTGCCAAACTTCTACCAAACCAGCATTGTAATTAGCTGTGATTGCCCTTCAGGAAAGAAGGAGTGTCAAAGGCATGAACCTGCAGCTGAAGGGCTGGATGAGGTCAGGCCCAACCTTCCAGACTTTATGGTTGACTTTCTATGGATTCCCCACCCGTCTATAGCTTTTGGAGGAGAGAGAGGTAAAGAGAGAGAGACAGAGATAGGTATTTTTGACAGGGTCTCAGTGTGTTGCAATCTTCCTAACCTGCCCCTGCCTCCCAGTTAGCTAAGATTACAGGTGTAGGTGACAATGCCTGGTGTGTTCACTTTGGCCTGGGAACTGAACCTGTCTCACCCATGTGACTGACAGCCTCCCAAGTGGAGGCACCACTGTGGCTGAGCCTCCAGGGATTCTTGGTTTCATCTTACTCTAGAAGATAATTGATGTATGGTCTTTCATCCCTATTTAGAACAAGAGAGAAAGTGAATTAACTGTCTGTTCTTTAATTAAATCCTATTGATTCCTACTCTGGTTTGGCACTGTATGAAGAATTAGGATCTAAAGACAAATCAGACAAATTTTCCTATCCTCTGTTAGCTCAGAAAGACTGATATCTAAACTTTTTTAAAATAATTATTTATTTAATTTTATTTATTCACTCATTTATTTTAATTGGACCAGAGAGAGACACAGAGGAGGAAAGAGAGAGAGGGAAAGTGAGAAAGGAAGCCACCAAGTCCGGGACTCGAACCGTGGTCACCCATGTGGGAGCGTCCAGCATCTTAACCACCACGCCACCTGCTGGTCCCAAAAGACTGATATCTAAATGCATAATCAAACTCTTCTGGTCAATCTGAAAAATTGAGCCATTGAGGGTCATTCTACCGAATCACAGAGAGATGCTGGTAGAAATGTTCAATAAAAAAATAAAAAATCCATTCACTGCAGCATTACTCACAATAGCCAAGGGATAGAAATAATACAAGTGTCTATCAATGGATGAATGGATTTTTAAAATGTGGTATATATACACAATGAAATACTATTCAGCCTTTAAAAAAATAGGAGACTCTCATTTGCAATATGGGCAAACTTAGAGGACATTATGCTGAGTGTAAAAGTAACTTTCAGAAGCAGAGCGAGATGGCGGTTTGGTTAACAGAGGCTGGGACAGGAAGGAATAGGGAGGTAGAAGAAGAGGAAAGGTGGTTGGGGAAGGGGAGATGCTGACCAGTGGGTACAAAGTTTCAGTTAGATAAGAGGAGTAAGTTCTGGTGTCCCATTGCACAGCAAGGTGACTATAGTTACTAGTAATATATCATTCAAAATGACTGAAAGAGCGGATTTTTAATGTTCTTACCACAAAAAAGGACAAGATTCTGCTGTGTTTGATATGCTAGTTAGACTGATTTGATCATTCCCCTGGATATATAATCGAAACATTACATCCAATAAATATATACAATTATTATTTGTCAATTAAAAATTTTTAAGTCAAACTTAAAATATTATTGTCAGTCTGGCACACAAAAATTAGAAATCCTCAGGTTCCAGAAATGAAGAACAAGTGCAAATCTAGAGCAATGATAAGCGAGGGGACATTAAGCAAAATGTCTTATGAAAATTTGGGATGTATGCATGCTTTCTCAGGCCTGGAGTTTCAGCATCCCATGGGAATGGTTGAAGGCCCAGAAAACAAACTCCCTGCATTAGGCAATTAGGTAAAGAATGATGGCTCAAGTATAAAATAAGGAAATTTTTGCTGAGGACGTGGTATGGAAATCTATCAACGATCCTCATCGACCATGAGAAATCAAAACCCCAACCTATGTTATATGTGGGTTATGGGGTTGGGGTTCTTCTCATGTATTGTGTAAGCCACCAACCAAGAAGGTAACATAAAAATACTTGGTCTGGAATTGATTAAACTGTGCGACCTTGACAGTGGCAAGCCTAAAGCCAGCTCGTAAAAATGTCTCAACAGTTCAGTGCATGAAGGTCTCCTTCCAAAACAAAAATTATTTTAAAAAATCAAAACCATAAAACAACAATAACAGTAAATTACTGCTGATTCTATTTTTTTTTAAATTATAGTGTATGCAAAGCAGGAAAAAAGGTTACCATTAGCAATAGTCTGCATACAAAATACATAGAGGAGTTGATACTTTAGGAACTGAAGATGATAGACCAATTTAAAAGACTTTGACTTCAGAAAGTTCCTGAAGGGCCAGGTGGTGGCACAGTGGTAACACAACTGGAGCCACACGGGAAAGGTCCTGGTGGTGTGCCTTGGGACTTCACTGAGCGTACAAGGTACATGTGTATGCCTATGATCAGGACTGGTTGATTAGGGGTGGATCGTGGTGTGAAGACTCTTAGGGCTGCCTATCTGTCTCTCTCTTATGGAAGACATAAACTTTACAAAAAAGAAGTTTATGAAGAGCTTCAGAAATACAAGGGTTTTGTTTGTTTGGTACAAAAAATATTGAAATCCATGCATGGTGTTTTCATAACAGGAATTTTCCTTGAACTTTTAAAAGGCCCTTTATATGTATGTTTAAATTGTCTCATGGTGAAAGAAGATAGGGAAACCATAGAACATGTAAAGGATAATATGACAAAAAAAATGTAGACAGATTTCAAAAGAATTAAATAGAAATTCCAGAATTGAAAAGAGTTATGGAAATTTTAAAAAATCATCGAATGGATTAAACAGTAAATAAACTCAACTGAAGAGAGAAATAGCAAATTGGGGGATAGATTTGAGATTATATGCTGGTTTAGCAAATGAAGTCAAGTCAAATAGAATGACTAAGTTTGAATCTTGACTCTAACACCTGTTAACTGTGTGACTTGTGACAAGCCACTCTATCTATGCTTTGATCTTCTCATTCATAAGATGGAATAATAAAAGTACCTACCTTAGAAGATTGTTGTGAAAATTCCTCTGGCTAGCAAATCTGATAGACTAGTTGAAGAATAAGAAGTATGAGTTAATTAATGTGGTTATTGCTTTGGGTCTGATAGTAAAAAATCATGAGTACCTCAGCTGTCTGTTAAAGCAGACATATTTGTGGATTGGGGTAGATTTTAGATCCTGTTAAATCATCCCAGTTAGTAGCTGCACACTGTGGCCTTCCACACATGAGCATTCACCAATACAAACACGCCTTCTCTACTT